CGACACAACACACGGCAAGAGATCTAGGATTCGACTTTTTAACCTTGAAATGAAACTTCTCTTTCAAAGCCTTAAGTTGAAGCATTGTATGTAGCTGTTGTTTGCTAAAGAATATATGATTCTCCACAATGTCCTCTTCATCAATCGACTCAATTGCATTTCGAATAAATAAATTGCCTTCACCTAAACTTTCATCCATATTATCAATCGTTTGTGGCTCTTGTAGTTCGCACATACCGACTTCATCGCGTCCACACAATGCAACTTCTATTGGTGACAAAGGCTCAACTCCGACATGCAATTCGTGCTCTCCAGCATTATATTCATCTGCAATTACACACAACGCCGCTTCTGTGTGAACAGACATAAACCATTGCAAATCCTCATCGTCGGCTACATCAGCAGGGGGTATATTCATGTTCGGAACTGTAAATTTCAATTGAATTCGAAACTTTATTCTATCAACATTCAGCTTCTCGAATAATTTATATACAAGCTCTTCATATGTAATATCATGTCGAACAACAATTGATGTTGTTCGGTTCCCTAACCACTTCCACCCGTCGTCTATGTTGACGAATCTACCACCATACGAGACATCAAATCTCTTAACATCTCCCATATCTGCATGTCATAAACAACAATACTGTCGACCACTAACGAAAATCGAAAACGAAAATGCTACCTGCATGCAATATGTGAATCGCTATACACGAAAATTTTCCCAACTTACTCAAATTTTTAATGTTATTGTCAACATTTGACAGTGTCGAGAATGATAGTATAAATATCATTCTCGACGTTTATAAATGTCGAGAATGAAATGACGGGATTTCATGTATTTATCATCTTCTTCAATTTCAACCACCATTTTTGCAAGAATTTATTCCACCATAAATGATATTCTAAATACAGAAGTATATTATCTCACTAAGTTATTTAAGATAAATTGTACAAAAAATATATACTCAAGATAATTTCGTCCATTGAAGGGAAAAAAAACCTTATCAAAAAATTGAGATTTGAACATATATAACAACAACTACTAAATAAAACTTATCAAAAAAATGAGAGTTCGAAGAAATAGAGTTCAAAGAAATATACCTTCTACCGACAAATGATGAAAGCCTAATCAGCTTCAAATTTCTACCACAGTAAATTTCTTAAAATGATTTCTTGGAAGTTGGAATCATATACTTCTTCGTATATGTTAATGAAATTTTTGCTTCTTCTTCATTTGTTCTAGAATAATTGATTAAAATGTAATTAAAAATGTAAGCAAGTGGACTTATCTAGGTAGTAGCAACATTATTGTGGCTTCTCGTGGAAGTTATTTGCTCTTCTTAAAAATTGTGCCAAAGTGATATAAAATTGATTAATTTTTTCATGAGGGTAAAGTAGACATTTTGATCTAAAAATTGGACATTTTTGCAAGGATTATAAAAAAAAAGTACACTTTTCAACTCCAACTCTTATAATTGGACATTGTTGAAAATGCCTCTTTCTATAAATCTGTCTATACATGAGAAACATTTGATGAACATTTGGACCAGCAAAGTTAGCGACCATTTTCTATCAATAAAATACCTTATTTCCTCCAATATATATTACGTTGGATAACCAAATTGCCTTACCATTCATCTCAACAGTGGGCTGGGAAAACTGTTCCAAAAATTTGAAGAAAAACTTCTCTTCTACTATAGGAGGACTGGTAAACAAAAACTCGTGCACGACTTTGAATGCCATTTAACTATAGAATCTCCAATTTCTTTTTATCGCCTGTTGTCTTTACCAATGTTGGGCATGTCGACGATTGAGAAAATATGCAATTGTGACGGACAGTATTTTCCTTCCAAACTATTTCCTAAAAGTAAATTAATAGCCTTAGCAATATTAAGAAACAAAAAATATAATAAAATTTTGTCTAATATATCATTCAATCATATTCAATACCGTGCATATAGAGGTATATTTTCTTATAGAAGAGTCACTTTTGAACCCCTTACAAAACTGGGGCACGCTAAAGCTTAGAGGAGAAATCATGGCCTTTCAAGTGAAGATTGGGTTGGTGAATGGTTGAACCATGTTGAACGGTTAAACAGGAATGGCTAGTAGCCTCTTGGGTCCACACTTTTTCAAAGGATTTATCAAAATTCAAAATGCAATGAAAAGTAAATAAATAAATAAACTGCACGAATGAAAGAGTTTATCTTTATAATTTTATTTATTTATTTATTTATTTTTACTTTTTTTGGGATCTTGTTTTAGTAGTGAGGTCGATTTTGGTCCTATCTTCGTACACATTTCTGTGTCGTGGAAAAGGGTCGGGTAGTATTCTCACGTGGAGTTATAAGAAGGCTGTTATATGATTGACCTTATTCTAGACGCTATAATTTTGAGGGAGCCTACTTATTTTTTTAATATTTTTTACAAGAGGGCACAGGAACAAAGGCCTTACCATTGGCGTTGTTAGACTCGAACACTTGGGCAATGAAAAATGCCAATCTAGGCCATGAGCCTCCAGCACTAGTTTATACAAAAAACTAAAAGTGCATTTGGTTTTCCATTTTCAAGCCATTTTCAGTTATTTTTAAAAATGCGTTCTCGAAAACAAGGAAAATTTTACAACATAAAATTTAAAATGACTTTTTGACGTTACTCAAAAACCTCAAAACAAGGAAAATGACCTTAAAAATTTCTGAATAAAATCACACAAGTTACCCAAATACAAATATCCATCTCTCTCTCTCTCTCTCTCTCTCTTTTTCAGAATGACAAATCAAACGCATTTCTCGCAATCTTAAAATAATTTCTCAAAATGTAAAATAGAAAATGAATTCAAAAGTAAAAAGTAAAAACAGAAACAACAACCAAACGTGCCTAAGCTTTCAATAGAAGTAGAAGTATCAAAGCAAAAAAAGCATCAAAATGAAAATTTAATACCTGTAGCATTTTTATTTTTAAACATACAAAGATCATTGTAATCAATTTGGAGGATAAATGGAAAGTTTAAATCCAGTGCCCTGGTTTTCTTTCTGGGCTCGCATGCTTTGCTTATGTTGCTGAATTCTTCTAGCAGAAGCAGCTGCTGATTTGGTGGTGCAGTACAGGTCCATTATCTGGAGGTTTGAAACACGCGACAAGCACAATGGAACTGCTTTGAGTTTACTGCAGTGCTTAAGATGAAGGCACCTGAGGCTTGGTAAGTGATGAGCAGAAGTCCGCCAAGAAACTAAATCTGTTCTTCCAATATACAAAAATTTGAGATTACGGAATCCCCCCTTCTCCGTCTGCCATTGGTTTCCCTTAAATGCATCATCTTTCAACTTAAGGATCTCAAGATTTTCCAACATTCCTAAAGTAGACATGTGATCCCAATCAAGCAGGGTGCCTGATATCGTCAGCTTCTTTAGATTTGGTGGAAATGCATCAACTTGAGGTAGGCTAATTAATCTGCCATCAAAAGGTGGATAAGGATATACATCACTCAGTAGCTTCAAATTTACGAGATAATTCAAGTTGCATAAATAATTGAATCCACCAGTGCCTTCCAAAAGTTCAGATAATCGGCCACGAATACCTAATTTCTTCAGGTTAGGAGCCCACACAAAGACATCTTTTTTACAACTTTCAGGTGCTACTGTAGAAAGTATTTGTAGGTTTCCATGGATCAAAGAATCATTGTTTCCAGTTCTGAAAGGGTGGATTGGCAAAGATGTGGATGAATTTGTAATTATGTGCCTCAATTGAGTCATCTTCCATATATCTGCTTCAATTACAAGGGTGTTTGATGATGTCTCAATTACAAGAGTTTGCATGTTCCATAGGTTGGAAAAAGCTGCAGGAAGTATCTTGAAGTTGCCAGAGAGAACAAGGTACCTCAAATGAATGAGTTGAGTTATATCAATAGGAAAATGATCCAAATTGAGAGGTCTAACACTTAACACCCTGAGCAGTTCAAAGGCTCCAACAATGGAAGAAATATCATCTGGTAACGGCACAATTTTTTCCGATGAAAAATACACGAAAGACCTGACACCTGAACTATATGGTTTTGAAGAAAGAAATTTCAAGATGTCATAATGAATGCAAAGGCGACGTACCTCTATCAATTTAAGGTAAGAAAATAGACATGAACGCTGATCATCAAATTTAACTTCTAGAAATAAATTTTCATCTTCAGCTTCCTTCTTGCAGAATTCACGAACCATTTCATGAACCTGACAGGTTTTAATAGCACCATTTGACCCTCGTTTTCCAACCATAACTAAATTCTGGTCGACAAGATCCTCCAAGAACTGCTCTGCAATATCCTCCAAGCTCATTTTGTTCTTTTGTTGTATGAATCCTTCGGCAATCCACATGCGAATCAGTTCTTGCTTTGAGATTTGGAAATCTCCTGGAAGCATTCCGAAGTATAAAAAACATTCTTTCAAGTGGTAAGGCAACTGGTAGAAACTCTTTGCTACAAATTCGTCCATGCGTTCTTGAGGATCCAAAGACAAATATGTATTCACACAGTTAGCAACTTTTTCCCACCAATAACTTGTAGTCCCTCTTTCTAGTAGAATTCTACCAATTATCACTAAGGCAAGTGGCAGTCCCTTACAATGATCGACGATGCGCATTCCATGCCTAATCAAATCCAAATGGCAGGCCTTTGAAAAGAGTACCCTTTTTTGGAGTAACGCCCAACTTTCTTCACGACTTAATAGCCGCAATTTATGAGGATCCCGATATGGATTGGCATGCTTAGCCACACTCCATATGCGACTAGTTAGTAAGATTCTACTTTGTTGCTTGTTTTTAGGAAGAACATTTTCAAGATGATTCCAAGCCTCTTGAGTCCATACATCATCTATCACAATTAAATACTTCCTTTCCTTTAAAAATTTAAAAAGCTCTTCACCTAAATGTTCATCGGTCATCCCATACATTTCATCATTAAGCTTGATAAAATGATTCAGAATTGTCAGGAACACCTCCTTTCTATTATAAGACTGGGAAACATAAATCCACGCACGGTTGCTAAACCCATCCTTAATTTTATGGTGGTGATATATCATTTTTGCTAATGTCGTCTTACCAATGCCAGGCATGCCAATGATAGAGATAACTTCTAATTCCTTTGATCCATGGGTGAGAAGTGTGATTATATTTTCCATCTCATCTTGAAATCCCACTACATTGTCATCTTCTACAAATGGAGCCTGTTTAAGGTGAGCAAAACTTAGATCAGAAATGAAAGCTAATAATTAAATGAAGTACACAGCAAAAATGACTTATCAGGAAAAATAAAAAATAAAAAAAGGTATACAGCAAAAATGAAAGAAATTTGTAACAAGGAAAGAACTAACATGCTCAAAAAAAAAAAAAAAAAAAAAAAAAAAAAAAAGTTTAAACCCTAACCTTAAGGGTCTCCCACTAACCCTGCCCTGGAGTATCGTGAGGGAGGTAAATCACAGGTTATGCCTCCAAGGGTACAGAATGGAATGCTGCTTGTACACTTGCACTTATTCAAGAGCCAAATCCATATTTCAGGATTCGAACTCTTGACGCAGCACCCTCAAGCAAAGCTGAATTTCTCCACCCTCCCCTTTTACCACTTGGAGATATGCCCTGGAGGCTACATATACATTATCATTTACACACATTGATGAGATGACATGATTTTAAATTAAAATTTAACTGATTTAATTTTCCTTTTTTTTTTTCCTTCCTCTCTCTTCGAAACTTTTTTTTTCCTCTGTGTACATCAATCTATATATAATTATGTATAAGTAATATTACTCTATTTGAAATTGCTATTCAACAGGAAAATACAGAATCTTATTGGATAATATTGGACATTCTCAACCCAAAAAGTTAGTTCAACAGGTGAAGCTTTCTCTCACACTGATAAACTGATCACCGGTCCTTTCCACAACCGATGAGGTGAGACCAAACCCTTCATCATTTATACTTCAATTGAGAAGGGAGCGCAGCAAAAATCACTCTCTTCAAATTTAGCATTGACTGAATAAACATTAAAAACAACACGAGAAGAAACAAGAATATGAGAACCTCAGTTTGATTGTGTATCTGCTTATTAGTTATCAACTTTCTGAATTGTATTTATAACTGAATTTTATCTAACAATCCCAATTAAGTGAAAACAAAAGCTCATCATTTATACTTCAATTGAGAAGGAAGCGCAGCAAAAATCACTCTCTTCAAATTTAGCATTGACTGAATAAACATTAAAAACAACACGAGAAGAAACAAGAATATGAGAAATGTGTATTCTTATTCTAGTTATTCAACAATCTAACTATTCTAATTATTTGAATATTACAGCCATCAGAAAAAAGAGTAATTTCTAATTGAATTAATTCTCACTTCTGAAATTTATTTCAGCCAATGATATTATCTTCATAAAATAATCTATATTAAGATTAAGTCCTCCTATCCCGAGTATAAATTTGAAAGTGCTACGGGGAAGTCATCAATTTGTCAAGGATCTTTTCCCTTGTTGCGTTCATGATTTCCAACCTGGGGCAATTCATTAAAGTGGATTTCCAAATTCACTTGTTTTGAAATGTTTCGAAATTCACTTGTGGGAACAATATCAACATTCACTCAGACTTTAATCAAGATTTCTCATATTAACAAAACTAATTGATATTTACACATAAATTTGCCTGTGGTTGACAGAAGACATAAAACAACATTCAGTACTAAAGCTAATCAAGTAATGTTACCTCAGGACTGCTAATTTAGAGCAATGGCATAATTATTTTACCTTTTTATAATTGTCGTGTCTGTCAACAATTTCAACTCTCTCAATCTTAACTTTGATGTTAGAGATATTCTTGACCTCCGCGTTGATTGACTCAATATCACTCGTCAGTTTTCGGAGGATTGCAGCATAATCGAACGTATGAATAGCTTTAATGAATTGATTCCTGGATTTGTGAACGATTGCAAGGGAAATATATTTATCCACAGTATCTTCAGATCGATAAATCAAGTTTCTAACTTGCTTCACAATATATTTCTCTAAGTAACTAGGATTGCGGTTTTCCATGGATTCCTTGGCAGAGTCTATGAACAGACTCAATTGTTTATATAGATGTTCGACCTGTTCCTTGGCGTCAATTATCACATTAGGGTGGTAATCAAGTAGCTGCTTCAAGTATTGTAGCAGAAATTCTCCGATAGAAAATTCCATAGCAACATCATCATCAGCAGTTGCAAATTTTGTTTGGATTAAGTACGGCATAAGAAGAAAAATCAAAACTTTGTTTGCCGTCGTGGTGTTGGAGGAGGCGGCGGCGAGGGGAAAAGGCAGAGACGAGGGAGAATGTGGTGGTGATGCCATCGTGATTTGGAGATTTTTTCTGTGATTTGGAATTTGGGGGCTTTTGGGTGTGGCACGGTAAATGACCCCTTTTGATTTTCGACTTTGTTTGGTTACAGTAGGATCCAACTTCCTGAAACACCGCCGGTTCAATTTATAGGGGTTTTCGATGGTTTGGGGTCGCCGACCTAGACCTTAAGATTAGGCCCTTGTTTGATACGCATTTTTGGAGCCAAAAATGCATTTTTTCCGTCACATCAGCACACAATTTTTGACTTCTACACTCTAATGGGGGATCCGCGATATGATGTTTAAAATGCATTTTCATCAACAAAAATGTGCACCAAACGGACTCTAGATAGGTTCATCTGGGTCCTATTTAATTATTTTTTAGCATTATGCTTTATTTTTATATTACTTTTTATAAAAAGAGATAAAAATAAAAGATATAAAAAGATTCGAGATAGTTAACAGAATTCAAGACAGGACCATATTTCTCATTCCCGCGTTCACCATTCAGGGCGTATTGGGAAGGGCTTGAGGTCGACTATGCTCGTTTTGGCTCATCGTCACCCTTAATTACGTGGAAATTACACAAAAATCTATGTTTAAAGATGTAAGTTCTAAAATCAGATGACAAGTTTCACTTTTCAAAATTCAGATATATCATATTTAAATATTAAATATACAATTTTAATCTCAAATCCTAAAATTATTTCTATCATTCTCTCTCTCTCTCTTCATAGTTGTATCCCTCCACAGCCACCATTTTCCCCCCTCTCTTCATCTTCTCTCCTGCCTTCACCACAGCCACTCACTGTGTTGCAGCCTCGCCCCTACACTATACCCAACACTGGAAGACTGTCGCGACGACGGGCACTCACGGTCGCATCACGCACGATGATAGGCACCGTCGTGCGTGATCTCTCTCTCTCTCTTTTTTGTCTTATGCATCTATTCCTCTATTGTTCGTCGTTGATGGTGTTGACCGATGCGAGTAGCAAAGAACAACCTCGATCTACATCCAGTGCGCTCTAACCGACGGCAATCTCCATCTCGGCTTTGTCCTGTCGCTATTGTAGTTTGGTGGTGATGGTGGTGCTACAGGCACTTGGTGCAGGTGATGGCAGATTTGGCGATAGCGGTGTCCAGTGTTGGGTACGGTGATGGTGGTGAATTTGGCTGTAGCGGATCTTGTGATGGCGGTAAAGGTAAGGTGTTGGTAATTCGATGGTTTTTTTTTATTAATAGTGAATGAGTGTTGTTGGAAATGGTGGTTATGGTAGTGGTGGAGATGGTTGGGTGGTGGCGACGACGGCAATGTTGTGATGGCTTTTGCAGTGGTGGTGGTGGGGTGGTGGCGAGACGACTATACGGTGGTGGATTTGTGGGGAGTTGGTGATTCTGTATCTAGTTTGTTGGTGGTAAGGTGGTGCTAGTTGCAATGTTTAAGATGATGAGGCTGTCGGGAGATGGTGGTGGTGGTGGTTTTTGTGGTGACAGTTGTGACGTCGATACGACTGGCAACAGTGGTGGTCACAAGTATTGGTGACGATCACAAATAATTTAATCTGTGACCAACAAACAACATGTGACCAATGAGAAAGAGGAATTGTGATCAAGAAATAACATGTAACCTAAAAAATTGTTAATTTGTGACCGTTTAATAAATTGTGACTTATAATATTTGTCATCTGCGACCAATAAATAAAATTGTGGCGTATAAATTTTTGATTTGTGACTGATGAACAAACTATGACCTATGAAATTTTTGAATTATGACGTATAAAAATTTTGATTTGTGATCGAATAATAATATATAACTAACTAAATTTGTAAATTTGTGATCAAATTGTATTGATTTGTGACCTTAATATATTTATTTAATAAAATATATAATTAATTAATTAAATCATAAATATATTTTAATAAACATCTCATTTTTGAAACTTGAAACCTTTTTTCTTACTTTTGAAATAGGTGATAAATAACCTCTTACTTATTAAATTTTCCCCTTAATTATATGTCAGCCCAAAGTTATTTTTGTAAGTAAATAAGTTGAGATTTGCTTTTATTGTGGTTAATAAAATGACTTAAATATGTATTGCTAAATAAGGTCAAGTACAACTAAACATATTCCCCATTGCTAAATTTTCACGACTGACATTGTAATAGGAGCAATGTTACTTTATTTATCGATAGTTCTGATAATCATCATCTAATGTGGCAATTCAATCACGGTTATATTGATAATAAATTAAAATAAAATGATTTTTAACTTTATGAAATAATATGGTAGTGACCCTGTGCCATTTAAATATCAGCACTGTTGATAATAGTAGTGCTTTGAAAATTGATTAGAGCATCGATCCAAAAAATAAAAGGGTCAATGTTCCAAAGGTTCAACTGGATTAAATCAGGATAAAATCGAATGTCAAATTAAATAATTCTAAAAAGTGTCACCATATAGCCTAAGCATGGTTTGGTTGGGTTAGTTTTGAGTCCAATCCGAAATTGAAATCGACTCTTGTCAATTTGGCCAAATTCCAACTCAAATCAACCCAATTCAGCCATTGAAATCAAACCTAACCAAACCAAATAGGTTTGTGTCGATTTGGTTTGGTTAATTGATTTAGACATTGGTTCGAGTTATAAAAAGTAAAAAATAAATAATTGCCTATACATTTTTGGTTTAAAATTTTGTCTTTCTATTACCTATACATTTTTGGTTTAAAATTTTGTCTTTCTATTCATATATATAAATGGCAATGAATTGATTTTTCAAAATCATCGCATATATCTGATAGTTAACAACAAACAATTACACGAAAAATGAAAGCAATGATACAATCTAAATTTGGAATTTATAACAAACACTTCTTGCTTTCTTTTCTTTTAAAATTTGGAGTATTAGTAAAAGAAGTGTAGTAGGTAAATAAATTATTTGAGAAAGAATTATATTTATGTTTTATTATTTTACTTTTTAAGTTTAAAAACATGAATTTTCAAATGAAAAGAAAAAATTATCATTGGGTTAGAATGGTTAATTGAAGGGTTGATTTCTTAAACCGAAATAAACCTAACTTGACTTTATAATGGTTAACCCAACTAAACCGATTTTTTGGTTCAAATCAACTCGACTTGATTTGGTTCAATCGGTTTTTCAAATTTTTTTGCCCACCTCTAGATGTAGATATGTCAAATGAACCAGTCGTATGATAGATCTCGTACGAAAGATCTTTTGTATGAGGTGAAGCTATAAGAGACACCTTGTGGAGTAAAGACTCATCGCTTCGAAATACCATTTTCAATTAGTAAATGTGTCCTTATTCCTCATTAGAAGACTCCTTGTAAGGCTTGCTGGAAAAATTGTTGTCGGACTTGATTAATCGTCCTTTGCTGTTCAAACTGTCATACACAATTGGATTTTTTGGTGACATGATCCATCTCGAATCACTCTAATGGACCGAAAACGTGATATGCGCCGATAGTAGATGCTGACTAAATGCCAGATCTATCACCAAGGCTAACTATGAGCTGCCATAAAATATTGACCAAAATCAAACGTTTATGAAAAATATAATGCAATAAGCCCGAAATAATTACTTCATGTTTTACCAAAACGAATCATATCACTCAATATGTCGTGTGTCTCTAATTCTAAAACCACTAGGCTCCTCAAACTATCAAGGACCAATAATACCTGTAAGAAAAATTGTGAAAAAATATAAGTTTACAGCTCAGTGAATAGAAGATTTCGAAAATAATTATACTTTTTTATTTAAACATTTTTCTCATATATAGACATCATGTTCATATCGTTTAGTAATTCACACGATAGCCTCATACAATTATGGCAAAAATTGAGACATTCTCATAACTCTGTAAATATCATCACATATTCATGATATAGTTATCAGCTGATATCTATACCATCATCTCATCACATCACATGTGATCCACAAAAAATGTACCCTTTAACTAAAATTTGAAAAGGCAACTTACAAAAATACCCTTAAAATTAGAGGTCTAGAAACATCATATGATTTTTTTTTTTAAAGTAAAAAATATTGTGTGATAATAAAAAGTGACACAATGTCACTTTTTTTTTTTTAATAAAAATTGTCACTTTTTAATAATAATAATAATAATAATAATGATAATAATAAGTGATACAATGTCATTTTTAAAAGTTAAGTGTCAATTTTTTTATTAAAAAATAATATACAATATTACTTTATTAAAAAGTAATGTTTGTCACTAAAAAAATTATAGAAATCAATAAGGTGATTGAAAAAAAGTGATAAACAATAAAAAAAGATATACAAATCAAAAAACAAAAGTGACAAATATTAAAAAAAAAAAAAGTGACATTTTTTTTTTAAAAAAGTGACAAATTCAAAAAATAATGACACAAATTAAAAAAAAAAAGTGACAAATACAAAAAATAATGACACAAATTAAAAAAAAAAAGTGACAAATTCAAAAAATAATGACACAAATTAAAAAAAAAAAGTGACAAATAATCAAAAAGTAACAAAATTCAAAAAAAGTGACAAACTAAAAAAAAAAAAAAAGTGAAAAAATAAAGAAGTGACAAAATAACCCAAAAAGTGACATTCATTCCCTTATCTATGAAAAGGTGACAGAATAAGTACTTTTTTT